TAAATCAGAATAGAAATATGGGACTGGAGAGATAGTATGTGGTTAAGGCTCTTGGCTTGCACACAATAGACCCAAATTCAAGTTCCAGAACTGCCTATGGTCCCCCAAGCACTTCCAAGTGTGATCCCAAGCACAGAGCCAGGAATAAGCCGTAAGCACTTCCAAGCTGTAGCCCCCATATCAAAACCAAACAGAAATAGAACTACTCTTTTTAGGGTGAGTCTAAAATTTTTATGATATACATTTTTAGGATTTAACCTGACACCCAAACAACATAACCAAATCTGTATCATTCCTCAAACTTCAAAGGAAAGGGCAAAACTACTTCAAACATTTGATCACTTAAGGTAAACCACACAATCTGTCTCGTGGACAGTGATTAGGATAATTCAAAACAGAGTTATCAATAAGAACCCATTATTCCCTGTTCCTAGTATTCTTGTTTACTGGAAACAGTCTTGAATATCAAAAGATCTTACCAATTCCAAAGTGTTCTCCAGACTGTTATTCAACTTTTGAGAAATCTAACTTTTCTATTTTTGATGAGCTGACTGCCTGTGGCTACAGTCCAAACATTTTTACTCATGAACATATGCAATCCAATTCTCTTCTGGAAAACCATGAAATTTATTTTACCAACCACGTAAATGATCAGAGCCACTGCAGCTTTTACAAAGTTTTTTGATACTGAAAGCAATAATGTGAGATATTTTGCTATGTGGAGCAAAACGAAGTATCTTTAAATTCCAGAATAAACCTCATTGTGCTACCTAGTATATGTGCAGGCCTTCTCATATAACCATCATTTAGCGTAATATGTTAGAATATAAATGAATGTGGACTGCAGCGATAGCACAGCAGTAGGGCGTTTGCCTTGCAAGCGGCCAACATGGCTGACCCGAGTTTGATTTCTCCGCCCCTCTCGGAGAGCCCAGCAAGCTACCGAGAGTATCTCGCCCACACGGCAGAGCCTGGCAAGCCACCCATGATGTATTCGATATGCCAAACAGTAACAATTGTCACAATGGAGACGTTACTGGGCCCACTCAAGCAAACTGATGAACAACGGGAGGACAGTGACAGTGATAAAGGAATGTGACTAAGGTTAACATGAAATACTAACCTTATATCTCAGAATATTTTTTAACGTTGACTTTCAGAACACATATTTTAAAGGAAAAATATTATTACAGAATAAATAATTCCATTTGCATTTAAATTCATTATATATTTGCATACAGGTTTGCTTAAAAACTGGAGAGATATTATAAAAGTGGCTATAAAAGGAAAGATGCAAAAGTTGGAAGAACATGATAGTGTAAGATGGAATTTTACACAAAAACACAAATTCAGAATGGTTTGATGACTCCACAAATTCTGTACAAAAATATACTTTAAAAAAAATAACATTAAACTGCGGGCTGGAGATATATTACAGTGGGTAAGGCACTTGCTTTACATATCTGGGTTCAGTGCCCATCACTCCACATGGTCCCCCAAGTCCTGCCAGGATTGATCCCTGACCACAGAGCCAGGACTAAGTCTTGAGCACAGATGGGTGTGGCCCCAAAACAAAAACAACCCAAAAAATCCAGAAGAAAATAGTAAACAAATTATTAAGGTAAGTCTGTTCAGAAAAAAGTTATCTAATTTCAAATATTTTGAGAACTCCAAGGCATATGTGCCCTCCAATAATTGCTATCACTTGCACTACTATTAAAATACTAGTATATTACATTAAAGTGATCTGTACTTTCATAGCTTCTTTCTACACAGTAGTAAATCTTTACACTTCCAACTATTATCATCTATGAAAACACATACCACATATAAAGCATAGTAGTGAAGGATACTAAGAAACTATACCTGCGATCAGATCTTAGAAACTAGCTAAAGATGCTTTACAGTAACTGCTCAGATCAAAATGGATTAAAGACCTCTATATCAGGCCTGAATTCATAAGGTACATAAAGAAAAATGTAGACAGAACCTTCCAAGATACTAAAGCTAAAGGCATCTTCAAAGATGAAACACCACTGACCAAGCAAGTGGAAACTAAGATAAACAAATGGGATGACATTAAATTAAGACGTTTTTGCACCTCAAAAGAAATGGTGACTAGGATACAAAGATATCCCAAAGAATGGGAATATCAAAGATATATAAGGCAGTGGTAAAACTTTACACCAAAAAAAAAAAAAACCCAACCCCATCAAAAAAATGGGGAGAAGAAATGAACAGAAACTTCCTTAAAGAAATATAAATGGTCAAAAGGCACATGAAATAATGGTCTACACCACTATCATCAGGGAGATGCAAATCAAAACAATGAGATACCATCGCACGCCACACAGACTGGCACACATCAAAAAGAACAAGAACAACTAGTGCAGGCTTAGATGTAGGGAGAAAAGGGTTCTCATTCATTGGTGGTGGGAATGCCAACTTGTCCAGCCTTTTTTGGAAAACAATATGGACATTCCAGAAAAAGCTGGAAATTAAGCTTCCGTGCACCCCAGTAATACCACTCCAAGGAATATACCTTGGGACACAAAACACAATGCAGAAAAACTATCTGCACTTCTATGTTTATTGCAGCACTATTTACAGTAGCCAGATCTGGAAACAACTCAGTCCACGAGAATACCAGTCAATCTAAGGTACATCTACCTTAAAATGGAATGATATACAGCCACCAGGAAAAAATGAAATCATGAACTATGCTTACAAACGGATGGACATGGAGATTATCAGAATAAGTAAAATGAGTCAGAGGGAGGAGAGGCACCGAATGATTGCACTCAACTGCAGAATATTTAAAAAAAAAAAAAAAGTATGAAACTAATACCCAAAGACAGTAGGAATGAAGGCAAGGACTGGTCCATGGTTGGAAGCTTACCACAAGTGGGGGAATGGGATGGAGGGAAGTTAGGACCGAGAAGGGACCACTGTGACAATAATAGTTGGAAATGGTCATTCTGGACAAGAATTGAGTACTGGAAAGAAGGTAAAGTGATATACATACTTTTCAGTACCTATTAAGCAAACTATAATGCCTAAGAGGAGGGAGGGAGAGAAAAGAAAAGAGTCTGCCATAGAGGCAGGCTGAGGCAAGGAAGATTGAGGAAGGAAAAACTGGGGACACTGGTAGTAGAAAATGTACATGGGTGAAGGGAGGGGTGTTGGAACATTGTATGACTGAAACCCAATCATGAACAACTTTGCGACTGTGTACCTCACAGCAATTTAATTTAAAAAATAAATAATATGTACATTCATCAAAACATGACCGCCTTTCTCTGTCAGCCTCATTATTTAATGATAAGAGACTTTTCCAAGTAATGAAAACCCCTTCATTTGACAGTTGTCAGGTTTTGGATTTTGGGGGTATTTTTTGTTTTGTTTTGTTTTTTTGGCTTTTTTTTGAGTCACGCTGAGCAATGCTCAGGGGTTATTTCTGACTCTGCACTCAGGAATTACTCCTGGCAGTGCTTAGGGAATAATATGAGATGCTGGGATCGAACACTGGTCAGATGCCAGATGCGTGCAAGGCAAATGCCCTACCCTCTGTACTACCGCTCCAGCCCCGAGTTATCAGTTTTTAAAAGGCTTATTTACACAGAAATTAAGGCAAATTTACTTTAAGGTAAATAAAAATTTGTAATAAGAGCAACCTTAAATGACTTACCAGTGTAAACCCTGTGAATACCAGCTGTAAATTAAAAATAATCTAAGATCTCCCTTCAATTTAGGCAGAGAATAAAGTTTTAGTCCCCATTCTAATAAAATTTGTTCTAGTTCAAAATTTAAGTGTTTTGAAACGGAATTTAATTTTCACCATGCTACATTTGTGCAATAACAGTCTACAATGAAATCTGCAGTATACTTATTATGGAATACCCAAATATAAGAATGCCAGATATATCATCCAGAGGAGTTAATATCTAGAGCAGAAGGATTGAAAATGTAGGGGGTTTGAATTATTAGAAAGTGTGGTTAGAATATGCCATCCTTGTTTATACTATAGTTGCTGGGAACTGACAGATAAAATCACCAAAGAGATCAAGCATACATCAGTAGGGAATGATGGGCTGAAGCATAGCACAGCGAGTAGGGCATTGCCTTGCATAAGGCTGACCCAGGTTTGATTTCCAGCATCCCATATGGTACCCTGAGCACCGCCAGGGGGAATTCCTGAGAGCAGGGCCAGGAGTAACCCTTGTGTATCGCCAGATGTGACCCAAAAAGAAAAAAAAAAAAAAAAAGGAATGGTGCACTAAGGTTTTGACTGATAATGTGGCATGATCCCTCAATTGCTGTATTATAGAGACACATTGATAAAAGTTTCAAAATTCACTGATGTGCTTTGTTTAAATGTTTGTTAAATAGGATTGGAGAGACAGTGCAGGTAAAGGCCTTTCGTGTACCTGACCTGGGCTCTACTGCACCCCATATGGTCCCCTGATTCTGCCAGGAGTTAGCCCTAAGCACAGAGATTTAAGCCTTTAGCCCTGCTGGATGTGGACCAAAAATAAAAAACCAAAACCAAAACCAAAGCTCTCCTTGTTATAATTTACAGAGTGGTAAAAATGTGATCTGTATCATTTTCTACAGAAAGACTTAAACCAAGTAATTTAATTTGCTAGCAATTTAACTTAATAAAGGCTATTTTTACACCCTGTTAATATATGCTGGGCTGAAGCGATAGCACAGCGGGTAGAGCATTTGCCTTGCACGCAGTCTACCCGGGTTCGATTCCTCTGCCCCTCTCGGAGAGCTCAGCAAGCTACTGAGAGTATCTCCCCCACACGTCAAAGCCTGGCAAGCTACCCATGACATATCATATTCAATATGCCAAAAACAGTAACAACAAGTCTCACAATTTGTTGTGAGACATTACCGGTGCCCACTTGAGCAAATCAATGAACAATGGGAGGTCAATGCTACAGTGCTACCCTGTGGAATACTGCCCACAACGAATGCTCTTGAGAGTGACTTACCTCATCACAGTCTCCTTCAACCATGGCATATATAGCTTTCTTAACCAAGTTAGTACCTAGAATATAGATCTGAGTATTAATAAAGGAAAAATGTAATTAACTTTTTAAAATACCTAAGATATAATATCCACAACAGAAATGTCAAATACTGGGTTCTACCTTGAGGCAGGCATACAAATTTTCTCAAAATAAAAAAATAAGGAGGGGGGGGTGGGAGGACTAGAGAGATAGTATAGTGGATAGTGTGTTCGTCTTGCACAGAACTGATCCACGACCTGGTACCTCATATGTTCTCCAAGCCTGACAGGAGTGATACCTGAGCACACAACCAGGAGTAAGCCCTGAGCACTAACAGATGTGACCCAAAAACAAAAAACTAGACTTAAGTCAAGAGGCCAATAGAGCCTACACACACAGCAATACAAGTTTCCTTGTAAAACAATAATCTTCTGAAATATTTATTTGCATTCTGTTTGGGGTAGAAAGAAAGGGAAAAAATAAAAGGAAAGATATAGCATGGTCAAAACAACCAATGTTATTCTTGAGTTGGCCATTACTCACTGCATAATTCTTAAGTCAAACTTGCCAAAGATCATATCATAAATGATGTAATCACGACCTTATAGTGAGCCTGGACACACTGAAGCTGGCACTTCCTAATGCAGTTGTCTAACAAAATATATTCTTATTTACAGGAAAATATTAAAAGGAAAACAACTCCCAAATCTGACTTTAAGAAATACAAATTTTATAAATTTCTTAAGTTTCAAGAGCAAGCACGAGTTACAAATAATGTCCGAGTCCAGGATGCACAAGCCACTGTGTTCAGCTCTTTCTAACAAAGCAAAGGACAAACCTGTATTTCATAACAAACCTGATTCATTATCTTTCTGGTAAACTATAATGCCATATTGGCTAAATCTAACACATTAAGTAAACCTCATTCAAATAATTTCTCATGACATCTAAGATTTAAGGTTTAATCAATTTAAGACTGTGAAATAAATAACACTCACAGTTTACAAAATTACAGTAGCAAAACTACTAGTAATTAAATACCAGCATAGGCATCGATTCTTTCATGATACTGGCTTCAGTACATTCAAGAACTAGACATGCTCAGACAAGTACTTGTCTACCTGATCCTCCATCTTGAAACAAAGAGCCATAGGTCCTAGACACTGTGGCGGTGGTTAACCAGGTTTACATCACAGATACCTAGGGAAGCATCAGCCCAACATTCAACGCGGCAAAAAAGAATCTCTGGGATGAGGTTTCGCATTAGTCTCTAAGCTACCCAGATGATTTTAACGACCATTAAAAACCATGAGTAAAAGATTAACTAAAATCCAAGAAAAGGTGGACCCAAGAAAGAGACCAGTTTGCTAATAGTAAGAATCAATTTTCTTTTCATCAGGTGATCCCTAAATTGCTAATATTTGCTAACTAGCAGTAATGTTAAAAATTTCTCCATAATTTGCCTTGATTAAAATTTATTTAACTACAATACAGTCACTTAAGGATTATGATTAAATGACTAATACTATTTTTAAAACTATAGTATAGGTAAGTATTATAATGCAAAGCATTTTGAATGTGATACAAAAAAGCTATCACTTGCTACTTATCAGAAAGTAGCTAACAGATAAACTCAAAAAATTAAAAGCAATTCATTTTTAAAACATTATGAAATATTTCTAATAAAATTTTTCCATTAACTTCATGCTCACTTCTACATACTTATGTTTTTGCTTCAAAATACAAGAAAAAAAATAAGAAAGAAAAGAACTTATGCATTCTTTAGTGACATTTTTCTTACCAATGCCATTTCTCCTGTATTTGGAATCCACGGCTAACATGGCTATATAACCTCTGCGGAACATCTTTTTGTGCATATCCAACTTGCAAACGATGGCACCTACACATTCCTCCCCTACCATGGCCTTAAAAATAAACAAACAGTTATAAAGAATAAATATACTATCATCAAGTACTGCAAAATTACCCAGGATAACAGCAGCCAATCATTGGCCAGCTTTTTTATTTTTTCCCCATGCCAGGGTTGGAACCCAGGGCCTAACACATGCTTGAGCCATATCCCTGGCCACTGGTCAGCATTTCTGAATGAAGAAGTAATGAAAACTCTAGCAAGAGCAATCAAAAAAGTTCAGAAATTTAAATCCCAGATCTCTTTTCATATGTTTTAGCTTTAAATCCCAGATATCTTTTCATATGTCTTAGCTTTAAAATCTTTCAATGTTTAACACAAGTTTAGATTTCTTATGGTAAGTATCAAAGCACCTGAGAAAAGGTGAGATCCTCTGTAAGGTAAATACTCAGTACTTTGTGAGAGATAGTTAAAATTACAAGTATTTGCAATACAGCTCTATACATTTAGGACTTGGGAAGAAATACATGAAAAACAATTTACATCTATCCTTTAGAATATTAGAATAGTGTTAAATTTGTTTATCAGCAGAGTACAACCAACTGAAATTTATGCATTTTAATTATTAAAAAGCTTTATATGTATCTTGGGCTGGAGCGATAGCACAGCGGGTAGGGTGTTCGCCTTACAAGCGGCCAACATGGCCGACCCGAGTTTGATTCCTCCGCCCCTCTCGGAGAGCCCGGCAAGCTACCGAGAGTATTCGATATGCCAGACACAGTAACAACAAAGTCTCCAATGGAGACGTTACTGGGCCCGCTCGAGCAAATCGACGATCAACGGGAGGGCCTTAAAGACATACATCTGACATATACATGTGTGTGTGCGTGTGTATCTGAAAGATAGATATAATATTAACACCTAAATTTTTGATTGGGAATGTGGGGGCAGGACAGAAAGCTCAAAGAGTTAAGTGAATGCTTTGAATGAGGGAGGCCTGGGTCGGATCCCCAGCACAGAAACAGGAACAGCCACAAAAGCACCAATGTGTGGCTCAAAATACAAAAATAGACTTTCAGGATTTTTACTGAAAGTCTATGAACACTAAAGTGTGGTCTCATTTTTTGGACTCTTGTCCAATGTCATAAAGCTCAGAACCTATTCAAACCTCAAATATCAGAGCTTTATAGTAAAGCAAGTTTCAATATAATTGTACAAAATTTTCTTTAAAAAATGCACGACTTTTCAAAATATTAAAGATCATATAGTAAATAAAGTTAATCTTCCATTTAAGCTTTCTAGTATAACTGTTAAAATTTTATCACTCTAAAAAAATCCATAATGTTATTCTGGAAATATAAAAAGGACAATAGTTTCAACTGGTTAAAAATGTCAGCAAGAAATATCTGTTTGCTATAAAGAGTCCACCTTTTAAAAAACAAAAATACTAAATTTTCTCTTAATAAAAAAAAACTTCAGAAAACACTATTTCAACAAAACAACAGAAATAAGTTAAAAATAAGCAAAAGTCCAATTTTTATTTAATACCTATTATCCAATTTTTATTTAATATCTATATCTAATACCTATTTTTAAACTTATTGGAACTGTTAGTCATTCCATTAACTGACTGAATATCCTTTTTGTAAACTGTATGGAAATCTTCTAGGCAAGTTAATTTACTCCTTTTCACACAAACCTGAACCAAGTCAGAAAAACCTTGTAGAGATAATAAATTCAACAATCCACAGTCATTTTCCTGCTGTTTTCGTTCCCAATAATCAATATGTTACCTTCAAAATTTCTCTGAAAATTTAAATCCTTTCTGTATCACAAACTGAAATATACATTTAAAAGTTACCTGCTGAACAACTCTTTAACAGCATTATGTGATTTCAAAGTAGCTCACTTCAAGTGCACATGTGTATATAAAGCGCACATCAAATGTTACATTTAAAAATTACATAGTCTGATTACAAAAGCTAGGGAAGTAAACATCTATATAAATCAACCATATGAAACAATTAAGTGCTATATTTCAATTAACAAATCAACTAAAATCACTAGGCACAATACAACTATGTAACTCAATAGACATTTCAAACAAATCTTCCTATCCTTTGGCCAGGGGAGTAATAAAGCAATACTTTATTAGTTCACTTTGAACAATATTGACCTTGTCAAGCAAAAATAAGTCAAATATGTGATAACAGTTAATAAGATTGTGGTAGTGAAGAAAGCCAAAGCTGTATTTTTTCCTAATGGATTGCTCTGAATTGATATTTAGAAGAACCACAGAATTCCTTCTTTTCCCTAATGAAAGCTTCTGTACACACATTTCAAACTCATGCTTTTAATGTGTATACGTGTTGTTTTTTTTTCTCTAAAGATGAAAAGTAAAAAAGTTCTGGCAAGATTAAGACTTTATAAGTCTTAATAAGACTTCACAAGTCTAACACTTGTCAATCAATATATTTGAAAAATATGAACTGTGTGAAATGGAGATCCCACAATTCCAGAACACTACAAATAGGAAGCTAGAGGAAGCCAGAAAGTTAAATTTAGAATAAACGGAAATACTATAGTTCATTGTTGTTAAACTTCAAAAAGCCACCAAAAACTGAAAATACCTTCAAAAAGGCATCAACAACTCCCAAACTCAAAAGGTAGTCAGGCATAAAGCACTGACAGTGCCTCCCATTCCTGCAGTACTCTACATTCACAGGTTCCAATGAGTAGGAAAGAATCCTAAATTTGGTCAAGAATTGATAATCGTTTAAGGTTCAACCTCATGTATTTCATTTGACCCATTAGAGATTCTGCAAGGGAATAAGAACATTGTGGATGTTTCTAAACTTTCTGGAGATTGTTATTTGTAAGAACCATAACTTGGTGACACAATGATCTTTGCTGAAAGGTTCAAGGATATGTCAGTTTTTTCAGGTTCTTAATATTAGCAAAAAAAGGGATTTTACCAGGAAACAGGGATTCTGGTTTTACCTATCAGTCACTAAAAATCTGGGGATTTAGACCTAAGTATTACTTTGGTCCTTAATTTTCATCAAATAAAGTTTAGTTAATTATCTCTAGAATTCTTTACAGATCTAAAATGGTATGGTTTAAAATAAACATATAAACATATTTGTTTTAATTTTCTTCTTTAAAAAAACTAATAAATTATTGACAATTAAAACAATTTTAATGCCAATCAAAATAAAGACCCCCACATTAAAATGGCCTCTGGTTATTTTATATTCAACGCTTCCAGATTCAATAAATGTTAAGAGATCATCCCCCAACTCCTAGTTCAAAATTGAGAACAACAACCTGTGAACTAGAAGGAATTTATGTAAAATCAAGACTAAAATTTACTATAAGTCTAAGCGGCAGAGAAACTGAAAGGCTAATATAATATTAGACCTCAAAACTACACAATTTTTTAAGAGAAATACACATACTATTTTAAATTGTCTTTTAAAGGGCTAACATAATTAAAAGAACCTACAATTTTTAACAACTACAATGGCGTAAGATTATTTCCCAAATTCACAGACACTTATGTGTCTTAGGACTATTTGATACAATTGTTAGAATCCTGTAAGAGCAGTTTCATAGAGCATAAAATAGTTAATATTTTAAACACACACTGAAATTTAGCAAAGTACTCATACAGTACATACACACAAATAGCATAAACACCATTCACGCCACCAATAACTACATAACCAACAGTGTATTTTCAAATTACCACCAAAAAACAGGATCAAAAAGGTGGATTTTTAAAGTATTATCAAACCATCCTGCAGGGAATTATTAAGTGCAACTAAGTTAATGTGACAAAAATAAATGGTAGTGGCCTTTCTTTTTACATATCAAAGAGTACTCAACAGTGTGTTGCCTATCTTCAATGAAACTAGGCTTGTGAGTACAGTATACAAAGCACATACTTGCAGTTAGTGTTTAAGTTACAGATTTCATACAAATTTAAATTGATCTATCTTATTGGAAAGAAACTATAACTACAGCCAGTAGAGCTAAAAAAGCATTCAGTTTGCTTGGTAGCCCAGTCTTTTGTTACTTCTATATAAATTAAAAAAGAAGGTATAAAAGCAAAAAGGGAAAGATGTCAATTATACTTCACAGAAGTCAGTGTTACCATTCTATTTCAGCTAATAATGAGCAGTTTCTTATTAAAAGAAATTTAGGTTTGTAACCATTTCACACTTAAGTTCCCTACATTTCACAAAAGGGCATTCTGCTCAAGTTTCAGGAATCTTGTGGCCACCAGAAGTGTTAGTAGCTCCTTCTACAAGTAAGCATCAGAAAGCAGGCTGGTTACAACTGATTCAACAGTCCTGTTGAAGTAAAAGGAAACAATCTCCATAATTACAGAACATGTTCTAAGGTTTAATTCTCCAATGTGGCTACAGTAAATTCACTGACAATGATTTTCACCAAAACATGTTTATGCTGCACTCTTCCCTGATTATGGCTGTAATTGAGTGATTAATAAGACTTTGTACCCGAACAGAACCATGTTCAAATTAAATGATTGCAAAGTGCTTTGAGGATGTGGGAGAGTAATTAAAGACAGTTAAACATGATTATCAACTAATGTAAACAGGATACAGGACCCCAACGAGCATTAACACAGGCTTATTGCATTCTCATGAGGAGCAAGTGAACCAGCATCACCAAGTCTTACCTTCACATACAGTCGCATTAGATAACTAGGCGGGTGCACACACTTTCACATCAAGTACCGAACTATATGAAACGCGGGGTGCATCCACTGCCACTCTCTGCCCTCACACTCCCTGCCCGGGTAGGCCTGGCGCGCTCTGCGGGGCGAACCCTCTTTCCATTCCATGCACTTACCAAGAAGCACAGCTGGGGCCAGTTGTGGATAAAATATCTATAGGTATAAATGGAGTAGGGTTCAGACAGATCTTTGGTGATCAGTCTCATGATATCGGGCATTTGGAGCTCGGATTCGTATCGGACGTAACGTATCGTCCGATCCTCCCCGGGCTCGCCCTCCCTGCCCGAGGGGCTTCTTAAGCTGCAGCCGGCGGTCAGGGACGAGGACAGCAGCCGCACCTGCTCTTCCTCCTCCTTCTCCTCCTCCTCCTCCTCGGGCTCGGTGCCCTCGGCCAGTCCATTGCGGGCCGCCACGGGCTCGTTGCCCGCCGCCGCTGCTGTTGCTGCCGCCGCCGGGCTGGGGAGCGCAGTTCTGGCATTACTGGGGAGGCAGCTAGGGGGGCTCTCGGCCGAGCGGACCCCGGATCCTTTTGTTGAAGTCGCTCTAGGGCCCCCGTCGGGGGTGGCCGCGGTCGTGGCGGTGTCGGCCGCGATCAGAACCTTGCTCTTGAGGGACGCAGCCGCCCGGAGGTGCCGCAGTTCGGGGCTGATCAATCCGTTGAGCTGCTGCTGCTGCTCCTGCGGCGGCGAGGGGCAGCGGTGGCACGGATGCCCCTTGCCCGTCGCCTCGCCGCCCGCCGGGCTCCTGCCTCTGCCTCCTCCTCCGCCGCCGCCGCCGCCGCCTTCGTGCTCCTCGTCGTCCTCCTCGTCCTCGCTGCAGCAGGCGAGGGCGGCCCCCACCGGGAAGGGGCAACGGGGCTCGGCCGCCGCCGGAGCCGGAGGTGCCGGTGGTGGGAGGAGGCTGCTAGGCCCAGGCGGTACCTCCGCCATCCTAGAGGCGACACAGACCGACAGGGGAGGCCATGAGACCCGGTCCCCGAGCCCCGAGCGGAGCGGGTCGCGAGCGGGGTGGGGGGGGGGGGCGGCAGAGGTGAAGGGAAGGGGGGGGGAAACAAAGGCAGAAACCGTCCCTCACGGAGCTGCTCCCCCCACCAATTCCGCGCCGTCCCCCCCCCCACAACATACACACACACCACACCACAACCACACACACACCACACACGCACACGCGCACACGCGCGCGCACACACACATACATACACACACACACGCACAAACACACACATACACACACACACACACACACACACACACACACCGCTCTTCAGCGCCGCCCAGCTGCTCTGCCGGCCACCGTCCCCGTCCGCCCGGGCCCATCCGCCTGCCCTGTCACTCGCGGCCCCTCCCTGTCCCTTCGGCGCGGCTCACCCCGCACAGGTCCCCGCCGCCACAGCCGCCACTCCTCTTCCTCCTCAGCCGCCGCCGCCGCCGCCGCCGCCGCCGCCGCGGCCGCCTCCACTGCCGAAGCTCCCACTCTGCCGCCGTCGCCGTAAAGCGCCTCGGCTGTTACCCCGGGTAAAGTTTCCTGGGCCGGGCTTTACGACACTTCCCTGCCTGCCGGCTGCCGGGGCCAAGGGAAAGGGGCGTGGAGGGAGGTGACCTGCGGAGGGGCGGGGACGAAGGTGTCTCCTGCCGGCTTCAGGGGAGGCCGCGTGCTCCGGGGGTGGGGCTGGCCGGGGCCGGGCATGGGGGCCGTGGGCTCTGTGGCCTCCGCGCGCGGACGGGAAAGCTCCGCCTCATGAACGCGAGCCCCTGGAAGGCTGGGCCGGCCGGGCGCGTCCTGCTGCTTCCAGCCCACAGCCCCAGCTGCCGGGGATCTGCTGCTGACCCGGCCGCGTCCCAGCAGGCCAAAAAAAGAAAAAAAAAAAAAAAAAAGCTTTTCTACGACCGCTGGGCAATGAATGGTGGTTCAAGTTTGCGCTGACCGCGGGCGGGGGCGGGGCTCGGTGACCCGTGTTCTTCTAAAGGTGGAGCAGATGAGGAAAGAAAATCAAAAAGGCGAGGAAATTAGAAAGCTTTGAGCTGTAAAAACTCCGGGAACAACTGTTGGAAGCTGATCGTTTGCCTTGCAAATGAAGTTTAGCCTTTGCCCCTTGGAATCCAGAGACGGTGGCGGGGTGGGGGTGAGGAGGGGATGTGAAATAGTTCTTTTCCTCAGCCTGTTTCTTCACGCCTTCACTTCTCCCAGGAAAAAAATTGGAGGTAAATGTGATTAACAGGTGCTGGGCAGCTGCAGACACACCTGTGGAAGAAACCGCGCTGGAAAAAAAGCACTTGGAAAATAAAATTCTCAAACACGTGGCATGAATGCGGATAGGGTGGGGGAGCAGAGAGCGAGTAGGTGTCGGGACCCTGCCTCTCCGCGTTCCCCGCCAAGGGGGGGTCAACCTGCGCCGAGGCAGAAGGGGTAGAGACGAAACCACACGTCCTAACGAGTGGTGCCTCCCCTGTCGAGTGAGTCCACGTATGACGAGTTTTCCAGCCGAGATCTAAAAGGAACAGGTAGCGTAACTCACCCAGACACGAAACACGTTGCGAAACATTGATGTATAGAGTTAGGTATACAGCACATGGGGGTTTTTCAAAGCTTCAAATTCTATGGTTGTGTTTGCAACGTTTACCACAATTTAAATTCTGTAGTGTGGGCTACACTGGAGTACCACTGTTGGGTACAATTGTTAGCTTCCGTATCCCTAGAGATGTTAAGACCTATATCGTCATATACCTGAAAATTCCTTTTATAGTGATAAAAATAGGGAAAAAAAGAAGTATTGGTATGGTCCTTATACCGTTTTAAGTATCTCATTTGTAGGATTTGGTAAAACAAAGATTTTCATAAAAATATTGTTATTTGTGCATGCATAAGCTTATTTCAGCCTTATCAATAACTGCAAAAAAAAGTTACAAACCAGATAGTAGGTTATAAGTGCAGAAAGAAAGAAATACATATGATACATAAGTAGAATATTACTATTAATTATGCTAATGTTAAAAGCTTGAAACAGATATATTGGCTTTTGTGGATTTTGTGGTTGCACTGCAAATAAACCCTGCAATATGGACGTATAAAACAACAATTTATTATGCTCACGGTATTCTGAGCCAGGAATTCAGCCAGCAAAAGGTAGACATGGTTTTTCTCTGCTCTGAAATGCCTTGGCTTCAACTGGAAGATCCAAAGCCATAGGGATAGAGTCATCTGAAACAAGTTCACTCTTACCTCAATGATCTGCTTTATCTGGTAACTGAAAACCTCAGTACAATGGCATTCAGATCTCTCTAGGAGGTCCCTTGGCACAACTGGGTTGGGAGTCCTTACATCAGCCCTCAGCTGATGGCTGAGCTCCCATGGCAAGTACTCCAGCAGAAAGACTAAAGCAGAAATAATACAACCTTTTATGATCTATTGTTAGAGGCCATGCAGTGCCCCTTATGGCACTTTCTGTTTACCTGGGCCACCACAAAAGTCTCATTCATGTTTAAGAAGAGGAACAGGCACCCTACTTCTTTTAGGGGAGAGGCAAGGTTTTTAAATGTATAGGAGACAGAAAATATTGCTCTGACCTTTTCTGGAAAATGCAAATTACCACAGGTTGAAAGACCTCTTAAGCACCTTAGAGGGGTCAAATAAAGGAGATGTAGCTGGACGTGTGACTCAGTGGTCAAGTGTACACCTCAACTACCTAAGGTTCTGGATGCCAACACCACAAAGAGAGAATAAGAGAAGTGTAATAAGTACAGTGTGATCCATTTATATTTTCTCTAAGTACAGAACAAACAGGATTTCCAAATTTTCATTGCTCAAAGACACTTATTTTTCAAAGGTCATAGTTTCTAAGTGTAATCTGGATGTTCAGCCAAAGAGCAATGATCTGTTAAAGTTATGCAGGAAAAACGGGCTAAAGAATTCCCCCCTGACATGATCCCTCAAGACATGTTTAAGAGTCATGATATTATTTCCAAAATATCTTTCACATACTAACTTTGGAATACAATTCTATTCTAGAAAAGATATAACCCCATGGTTATAACCCCGTGGTAATGTACGTTTACAACTCTTCCTATTCTTTATCTTTCCTCTTGAAAGTGGCAAAGGCCACTAGAAGGTGAGGATTTGAATCATTCACCTAACACATAAAACAAGACTTGTTAAGTTTATTTATTTTGGACTTTGGACCCCATACCCAGCAGTGCTGAGGGGTTACTCCTGGCTCTGTGCTCAGGAATCAGTCCTGACAGTGCTTGGGGAACCATATAGAATGCCAGGAATCAAATCCAGGCCAGCTGTGTGCAAAGCAAGCACCTTATCCGCTGTATTATCTCTCTGGTCCTATTTATTTTAAATCAATTATATTCTCATTTTGCAGTCTGGAATTGTAAGTGCAAAGTAAAAGTTGACCTTCTGCTAATTAATAAGCTATAAGATATTTTTATGTCTTGACCCTAGCCACTCTTCTTTTCATCTCAGTATTAAAATCCCAGGGATGGGTCTGAGGTTGTAGTTTAGGAAGTAGAACACCTGTCGGGGTTCTCTCCCTGGCATTGTCTGCCTTACACCACCCCAGTACTTGGTGTAGCCCTGATAGTAGCCAAGCACGGCTTGTTAGTGCCCTTCTCCTGTACCCTCAGCCCTATGTATGGTCTTCATATTTAAGAGTAATATGCTATTTTAAGTAATGAGTGAATATGATGGGAGCATTGTTTTAGGCTTTAAAAAATGATTAGTTCTCTCTAGAACTTTGGGTATATTTGCCTGGTTTAAAACTGGAAGGAGAAGTTACAGAACAGAGGAAATGTCACCAGTGATATTCTTCTATCTTGATAATTGGTATTTTTATTACTTTGTAATCGCCTAAGTTATTACCACCCTCCCCTACCCATTTTAAAATCACTGTTTTCTTCTCTTTTGAACAATGAAATGGCACACCATAATTTTTTTGGAGAGAAAAACGCATTAAATCAATTAAAATTATCAACAATAACTTTTTTTTTGTTTTTTGGGGCGAGAGGGGTGGTCAAACCCAGCAATGCTCTAAGCTTAACTCCTAGCTCTGCACTCAGGAATTATTCCTGGCAGTGCTCTGGGGACCAAATAGGTACTGCGGACCAAACTCTGGACGGCCACATGCAAGGCAAGCAAAGTACTCACTGTACTACAGCTCCAGCCCTACCAACCACCATTTCAAAGCAACTTCCTGAAGTTATCTTGGAAGAATAAAAGTTCGCTCCTAATTATTTCTAAAATCTAGACTTTTTTCTTCATATTGTCTAGGGTTAGAAGAGAAGTTACTGTTGTGCCTACCTGAAAAGTAAGTGTGGCAATTAATACATTAATAATGGAAAGATGCTTTAAATTTGCTTGACACAGCAGGATGACATATTATTTGCCATAGGCTCATATACTGAATAATTTAAATATTTGTAGTTTTATTTTACATGTCATGTGGTTCTTAATCCTGTTAATCCTATCTATTATACATAATGCTTTTAATATGAGAGTTCTTAATTTTGTTCTCTCCTAGATGAAAGAAAATGCATGCATCAAATTTGAAGTCTATAAAATTTAATCCAAGAATGAATGTAAGTTTATTGTTCTGCCACCTGTAATCCTGGAATACTGTGAGATTCTCAAGTAAAGTGTTTTAATTAAAAATTTTATTTTTTTCCTTTTGAATGAATATATGTGTACACAACACTTCACTAAGAAAAGTTCTGTAGATATACTCCCTCTGTTCTCTTTAAATGCATTTATGACATGTGCTTATGCTCTTTCTGTAGGTCATAGTGACTGGTAGATGAACTGATTGCTCAAGATAATGCCTCCATTCATCTTTGGCCTTGATTCTATCCCTTATTCTCCTTTATATCCTGCTCTGTTGTTTCTCTCTCTCTCAAGCTTACATTTGTGTCTTTACTAGCTGATATCTCTGTCTAGAGACCCTACTCCCCCCCACTCTCTCTGTCTCTTTCTCTCTGTCTGTCTGTCTGTCTCTCTCTCTCTCTCTCTCTCACACACACACACACACACACACACACACACACACACACAGAATGAAACTACTAAGGTCTAACAGGTAGTCACTTCCTTCACTTGAGTGCAAATTTCCTCTTCAGCTGGTCTCTGGGCTCCTACTTCAGCCCTTCCACTAATACCTCCCTGACAAAAGTCATCTGTTATATCCATAAAGGCTAGTTCTTTTATACCTTTTTTTTTTTTTTGCACTCAATCACTTTGCTCCTCCATGGAATTTGATCCTCCTATGCTCTTCTGAAAATTCTTTTGGCTTCTGTTATATAATTCTCCTCTGGACATTTCTAAATTTGGGAGGATAATAATAGCACATAGTAATAATAGTGGTAGCTATCATTTAGTGTGGATCTACCATATATTAAGGCATAATTGATTTAGGTCTTACATTAAACCTGAGAAATATGTCATTCGATTTGTTGCTTAGAAGCCAGATCAGAATTGAGTCATTAGTCTTGTCCTGAATTAATTACTGGAAAAGGGATAAGCTAATTCTAATATCAGTCAGGTCTATCTGGAGCTGAGAGTGAGATGAACTCCTGTTTGGTGTGTGTGTGTGTGTGTGTGTGTGTGTGTGTGTGTGTGTGTAAAGTATCTACAGATACAAATGTATAATGAAGGAGTGTGTATAGTGCTATTGGA